CACTGAGCCTGTTGGATTAACTTTTCTTAGGAGAGATGTGAGTGAGCATCTCTTCACCCCAGACAGGGCTCTAACAACAGAACAAAGAACAACTGCATCCATGTTCAACTTAGTGACCGTGACTTCATTGTACTTAATAGGAACAAGGTTCGGAGTACTTAAAAGAACACGGTGAGCAGAGTGCTGCATCACCAGAGTACTCCACCCCAGCTACATCCATGTTCAACTTGGTGAACCATGACTTCACTGTGCTTACAGCAACAAGGTTCAGGGTACTCACAAGAACACGGTGAGCAGAGTGCTGCATCACCAGAGCACCCCACCCCAGCATGGATGATGACGTCAAAGCTGCATAGTTGTTCTGACCCCCACTTGAGTTCAGCTTCTACCACTGTACTTGAACACCCCCGGAAGCTACATGCATCTGACCAGAATTAAATATGCTGGGGGGATGCCAGATCAGAAGAGTACTGGGATTTCAGAGGAGGGTGTAATGCCCCTCCCCATCTCTTGTGGGTAGTCACACATGCTCTGATTAAGATAGAACTGCCATGCTGTACTCTCAGGAAGGTGTCCTACAACAGAGCTACACACTGGGCCAATCGTTCTGAAATTTGACATACATGCAAACACTTGGAGGGCAATAAACATGGCTTAGTGGGACCTCCCCCCAGTGAAGAGTGAAAACTGGCATTCCTAACACCTTCTTAGGTGCTGCTGCTCCTGCTGCTTCAGGACTACACTAGAGAAATACTGACTTGATGACAGGTTGTTGATTTTCAATGATGTGAGCTATATATGCAGTTGGGTCTGAGTAAAACATACAAATGTACAGTAGGTAAAATAAACTGGACATGAGAACTTCAGTTATGCCAGGAACAGGCATGATCCAAACAAGGACAAAAACTCACTCTGCTTAGAATAATCTTATAGAACATTATATTTTTAATGGAGTAAGTAATTTTCAGCACTGTTATATGTAGCATCTGAGAGGCCAAAGGAGTGAGACACTGAGAGAAATAACACTCACTTTATTACAGAGAATATAGCCCAAAATGAGAGAGAGAGTAGTGATCAGAAATTCTGTGGATGTAAAGTAATGCCAATTTTATTGGATCCTAGAAAGTGCATATTTGAGTGGCTATGCTAAATCACATTCTGTAACAAGAATATGACACGCAAAATTCCTTTTGAAGACTCAGAATTGACACCTAAAGAGCCTGTTTCATTGATCTGAGTAATGATGTCCACCGGGCGGTGACCGCACAGGGCACACACCCAAATTCACTGTTCTTTGTCAAGTTCATGAATGAAACTGCTCCATTCAGAGGTAGAGTCTAAAAATAGTTTCCACAGGTGATTAGTATAAAAAAAATTAAAATAATGAAGTGTGGGACTGGTGTTTTTCCCCCATGGAGGTTGTAATGACTGTTCATAAAGAGATTTACGTGGTATGTCAGTAATAATCTCTTTTCTTTTCTCTAGCTCGGTTGGTTTAGCAAAAGCAGCCTTAGAAGCAATTAATGGATTTAACCTTTTTGGAAACCAGGTACAAAAAATTTTTTAAATTATTTGAATGTTTATGTAATTTTACTATCTGTTGTCAAAATAATTTCCTTAAAACCTGTGATGACCTGAAATGTATGTGGCAGCCCATGCTTGAACACCTTTGCGTTGAAATAATTGTCACTTAAAGTTTAGCTTTCATTTTGTGGTGGTGGTACCGTTTTCTGTATTTATTTATTTGTTTGTTTGTTTTTTACATCCTGATCACAGTTCCCCCTCCCCTCCGATCCACTCTTCCTCCGTTTCTCTTCAGAAAAGGGCAGGCCTCCCATGGACATCAACCAGTCATGGTATATCATGTTGCAGTGAGCCTAGACACCTCCTCTCCTATTAAGGCTGAACAAGGCACCCTGGTAGGAGGAAAGGGTCTCAAAAGCAGGTAACAGAGTCTGAGACATCTCCTGCTCCCACTGTTAGGAGTCCCATAAGATCAAGTTACACAACTGTAACATATATGCATAGGGCCCAGATCAGCCCAAGCAGGCTCCCTGGTTGTTGGTTAAGTCCCTGTGAGCCCCCATGAGTCCAGGTTAGTTGATTCTGTGAGTTTTCTTGTGATGTCCTTGACCTCTCTGGCTTCTACAATTCTGCTTCCCCCTCTTCTGCAGGATTCACTGAGCTCCACCTAATGTTTGGCTGTGAGCCTCTGCACCTGTTTCCATCAGTTGCCGGATGAAGCCTGAAGCCTCTCTGATGATAGTTGGGCTAGGCAATGATCTATGAGTATAGCAGAGTATCATTAGGAATCATTTCATTGACTTTTGTTTTCTAGCCATGTTCTGTTCTATCCTAGGTGTCTGGGCTATCCTGCATCCGGGTCCTGGCCCTCCAGACAGTGTCAGGAGTAAGCTCTCTCTCTTAGAATGGGTCTCAAGCTGGATTAATCACCACTTGGCCATTCACACAATTTCTGTGCCACCTTTACCCCAGCACATCTTGTAGGCAGGGCAAATTGTAGGTTGAAGGTTTTGTAGCTGAGTTGGTGTCCCCATCCCACAACTGGAAGTTTGCCTGGTTACAGGAGATGGCTGGTTCAAACTCAGTATCTTCTGCTGCTAGGAGTCTTAGCTAGGGTCACCCTCATAGATTCTTGGGAGTTTCTGTTGCACTAGGTCTCCAGCTTTTCCCAGAGATGCCCCAATCCCAGTCATCTTTCCCAGTCTCTCTCCCTCCATCCTAACCCCCACCTGATCCCTTCTGTTCCAACCACACCTCGTCAGTCATAATACCTCCCTAGTCCATGAGCAGTTTCTATTATTTTCCCCTCCACAATGAGATTCATGCTTCTGTTCTTGAACCTTCCTTGTTACTTAGCTTCTCTGGGTCTGCAAATTGTAGCATGGTTATCCTTTACGTTATGGTGAATATCCACTAGTGAGTACATACCATGTTTTGCTTTCTGGGTCTGAATTACTTCACTCAGTGAGATCTTTTCTAGTTTGGTTCATTTGCCTTCAAATTTCACGATGTCGTTGTTTTTAATAGCTGAGTAACACTCCATTGTGTAAATGTACCATTTTTTTTTATCCATTCTTCAGTTGAGGGACATCTAGGTTGTTTCCAGGTTCTGGCTATTATAAATAAAGCTTCTATGAACATAGTTGAGCAAGTGTCCTTGTGGTATGGTAGAGCATCCTTTGAGTATATACCCAAGAGTCGTATAGTTGGGTCTTGAGATAGATTGATTTCCAAATTTCTGAGAAACTGCCATATTGATTTTGAAAGTGGCTGTACAAGTTTGTATTCCCACTAGCAATGGAGGAGTGTTCCTTTTGCTCCACATCCTCTCCAGCATGAGCTGTCACTTGTGTTATTGATCTTAGCCATTCTGACAGGTGTAAGATAGAATCTCAAAGTCATTTTGATTTGCATTTCCCTCATGGCTAAGGATGTTGAACATTTCTTTAAGTACTTCTTAGCCATTTGAGATTCCTCTGCTGAGAATTCTCTGTTTAGATCTGTATGCCATTTTTAATTGGATTATTTGGTTTTTTTGATGACTAGTTTCTTAAGTTTTTTATATACTTTGGATATCAGCCCTCTGACTTGATAAATCTAACTTTTGTTGTTGGATAACCTTTCCATTGTTGTTTCTGTAGAGTTTTACATTGTTGATATATCCCTGGCATTATGTACCATATAGTGTCTATGTCAATTCTCATGTTGGTTTCAACTTAATGCATTTCAGTGTGTGTGTCATGCAGAGGGGGAGTTTTTGTAATGTCTGCAGTGAGGATGGGAAGTTGTGGGCCCAGTGAACTTCAACAGCCTGTAATCATATGTCTGAAATCATCTCTCTCTCTCTCTCTCTCTCTCTCTCTCTCTCTCTCTCTCTCTCTCTCTGTGTGTGTGTGTGTGTGTGTGTGTGTGTATTTGTATGTGTATATAGAGCAGAACCCAGAAAATCATCTTAGATTTTCATGAGATCTTTAAGCAGATATTGCACTTACAGAATTTAATGGCTGACAGTGGATTCAGTTGTTGCTGAAAGAGAATGAGTAAGAGAAAATTCACTATTCTGGGTCAAGAACTAGACTAATTTTCTTCAGGAATGTTTGTAGATTCCTGACATGACAAAACAATGTGACATTCCATGTGACTGTAATTAACAGCTAGCTACTGGGGTTCTTAGTAATAGAGGGATAGTGCAGAGGCAGTGGGATCCTCTAAAATGGTTTTTTTTTTTTAAATGAAGAAGCCCGATAAAGAAATTAACAAACTGGGATGGACCGAGTATTCTCTAGCATTTCACAAGGCATCCTGGATTAAAGCAGAGGGGTTTAACATAACAGTTTGGAAAGGTTAGACCTTCCTAGGCTGCCAAAGAGAAACTGAGTGGGGCTGAGTGTCCAGGTTGGCTGTGGCCTGGTAGTGATTGGATTGGTTTTGGTCATGGTGTAGCTTTGCTGAAGTACCATACTGTTTAACACCATACCCCCTCTTCTCCAAGCTCTTTCCATACAGTCACCGTGCTTTATCAAGACTTTTTCTGGAACATCTGACTTGCCTAATCAGGCATTTTGAGTCTTAGCTATAAATGTTCTGCCAATATTGTTTCTTAGTGTGTTTTTTAATCTTGTGTGCACATTAAAAGCATTACAGGAATTCAAAAGGCAGTTATGACACCCTGGCTCCCTCCTGACCTGCTATAAAGAAGGCTGTAGTTTTAACGCTCAGGAATTCTAAATTGCAGGCAAGAACATAGCTGTTTTTAAATAACTATGTGCTAAATGTTACTAAATGGGCTATTCATTTATTATTTCAGGTAGAAATAGAAGTAAATTGGTCTTTTTCCTTTAGCCACACAAGTAGTAATGGGAATAGATACAAAAAAAGGACAGTCATAAAAACCTATTCAGATGAGACCCAACCTAAAACCAACCAGCCAGCCAATTGACGTACCAAAGTGTACATGAAAAAGTAAAACATGAAACAAACTATCAGATCAACTAGTATTTCAACTAGTCTCAGAAGTGTTTGTTCGGGTCATGAGGCTTAAGGGGAGAGGGCAGCCCTTCCATACTACTACAGCTCATGTCCTCATGTAGCTGGAAGGTTTCCTGTATCCTGTCCAGTCCTTCAGCCACTCAGACCCAAATAAACACACAGAGGCTTATATCAATTACAAATTGCATGACCATGGCCTATTGCTCAATTTTCTTGCTAGCTAGCTCTTGTAACTAAACTCAGCCCATTTCTATTCATCTATATGCTGCCACGTGTTCCATAGCTCTACCTGTGTGCCATTACGTACTGCTCCATGGACTGCAGGATGGCATCTCTCTGCCTCTCCTTTCTCTTCTTCCTATTTCTCCTGGATTTTCCTGCCTGGCTCCATCCTGCCCTACCATAGGCCAATGCAGCTTTATTTATCAACCAATCAGAGTAACACATATTCACAGCATACAGAAAGACATCCCATAGCATCCTCATATGATGGTCAAGTTCAGTCATTGTGTGCATTAATTGGAGGAAGCAATGACAGATACTAATTTGGACAGAGAGATTGAGCTGATGACAGATTTGGACAGAGAGATTGAGCTATTAGTTGTAAAGAGGCTCTGAGTAGAGTCAGCATACTATGCAGAGTTGTGGTTTTAGGGAGTAGAGGATAAAAATCAACCAAGGGACTGGAGAGATGGCTCAGTGGTTATGAGCTCTATCAGAGGTCCTGTATAGTTGGAGTTTTCCTGTGTCCCTGGCTCCTGCAGCCCTCCAGACCCAAGTAAACACACAGGGACTTATATTACTTATAAACTGTATGGCCGTGGTAGGCTTCTTGCTATCTAGTTCTTACATCTTAAATTAACCCATTTTTATTAATCATAAGTTGCCATATGGCTTATGGCTTACTGGAACTTTACATCTTGCTTCTCCTGCTGGCAGCATCTCCGGACTTGCCTTCTACTTCCCACAATTCTCCTCTCTGTTTATCCCGCCTATACTATACTTGCTGCCTGGCTACTGGCCAATCAGCATTTTATTTATTAATTAATCAGAGCAACATATCCACAGCATATAGAGTATATCCACTGCAGTCCTGGATTCTATTCCCAGCACCCACATGGCAGCTCACAACCATCTATAACTCCAGTCCTAGGGGATTTGACAACCCATCTGGTTTCTGTGGGCACCTGGCACACATGTGAAGCAAAAACTCACTTGCAAGCAAAATACTTATATACATAAAATAAATATCAAATAGCCAAAGTTAAGAGGTTCTCTCAAATAATTCCTATAACACATCTTTTCCTGTTCTTGCCTTTATTTTTGGGAGGCAAGAGACTGACAGATGCACTGAGGTCAGACTGTAATTGGTGATGACAGATTGCTCATGTTCTGCAGTGTTCAAAACAGCAGACATCTGCATTCCTTTGAAATCTGCAGGTGATAATTCCCCAGTGACTTTAAAGACTTGCTTCTAAATGGGAAATAACTGTCTATGCCCTTGTGTAGTTTGGAGTTTTGTTTTTTGTATTTTCCCCTCCTAGAAATCTGGGCCATGATGCCTATAGTGTGGTATATATTTTTATACAAATGGTAGAGTTCTCTGGTAGTCTCTCTCAGTGTTAGCAAGTGGTGACCTCATCAGATTATTTTCCCATAGGCATGTATCTTAAAGACTGGCAGATGAAAATTGGGATTTCAACAAATACTTGATGAATTTAAGTAACTAATGTACTTATTTGTGGCCAGAAAATAGTAGTTTACTATTTATTTTATCACATAATAGAGGGATTTACCAAAGTTGCCTTTTTAGTTTCAAATTATCCTTTTATAGATTATATATTTTAAAGGTCCAATTTCAAACAGATGTTATTGGCCTACAGACACATTATAGCTCCAGTTGTTTTGTGTATTCACAGGCCCCTAACTCACTCACATTCTTCTAAATGTCTGCTTGCTGCTGCTTCTGCCAGAATTCAGGCTCTGGCTTAGGACCTCACTGTAGCTCGAGTTTTCATGCCTTGCCCACAGTCAGGACAAATCTTTGTCACTCACCAGTCCCATAGCCGCTCAGACCCAACCAAGTAAACACAGAGACTTCTATTGGTTACAAACTGTATGGCCGTGGCAGGCTTCTTGCTAACTGTCCTTATATCTTAAATTAATCCATTTCCACAAATCTATACCCTGCCACGCAGCTCGTGGCTTACTGGCATCTTCACATGCTGTTTGTCCTTGCGGGCGGCTGGCAGGCAGTGAGTCCTTCTGCCTTCCTGGTCTTTTATTTCTCCTCTCTGTTAGTCCCGCCTATACTTCCTGCCTAGCCACGGCCAATCAGGTTTTATTTATTGACCAATCAGAGCAACTTGACATACAGACCATCCCCCAGCACAGCCGAGTGCAGACCATCTCAGACTCCTGCACTCAGGGCTGTGGTCCTAATCATCCTCTCTGCAGACCTGCTGGGTAAAGCCATGAGGAACCCGAGAACGGGCTTCCACAGGACATACAGAACATCCCACAGCACCTCACTTCTGCTGACCCGGGAACCTAGCTCTGTTTTGCTGCAGTATAGCTATTGAGAGAGCCTCACTCATCCATTATCAATCACTTGCCAGAATTAAAGACTTGTTGAAGATGGTGTTCTGAATGAAGAATCATTCTGTTTTTCAAGATAATGTTCACAGAGAATACGAATTAACAGGAAGCATATGTAACTAGTTAGTCTGACACTTGGATCTCCTGTCTGGTCCTCCTAGGCTTGAAATTTCAGTCAGGTGATTAAGTCCAGGTATTAGAGTTTCAAGGTGTGTGAGTCTTTGATGTTGGGTAGAATTGGGGTGAGATTTAGAATGTGATTTTAAAACTACATAAAATATAAGATGCCTGGTTGTTTATTTATTTATTTATTTATTTTGTTTTTTTTAAGAGAGGGTTTCTCCGTGTAGTTTTGGTGCCTGTCCTGGATCTTACTCTGTAGACCAGGCTGGCCTTGAACTCACAGAGATCTGCCTGGCTCTGCTTCCCAAGTGCTGGAATTAAAGGCGTGTGCTGCCACCCAGCTTCCCCATTTATTTTTTTAAGTTTTTTTTTTAGCTTCCCATTAAAGTGATATTCATTTACACTGTACTGTTAAATATGAATGTACTATTGTCTAAATGGCAAAATTTTTCTTAAATGGTGTTGCAGACCAATTGACATTTTTTATTATATACATCTTTTTATTCAAATTTCTTGTTCTTTCTTCAAAGATTTTTTTTTAAGTGTAGGGAAATTATATAACCTAATGCTTCATTGAATGTGTTCCTGTGGCAGACTGGATTTTAGTTCTTTGCCCGGTTGAGCTAGGATTTGTCATCTTCAACTGGAGGGATAGCCCTAGCTACATGTAGCCTTTTCATGAAGCCAGCAGTGAGAGGTATGAGAGGAGGTGCCAGTGTTGTTTCTTAAGATTTTCTTACTGTCTCTTTGCACCTTCACATATTGTTATATACATAATTCTATATTGTTACCCAAACTTGTTTAGTTTGATCATCAAATCAAAATTATTTCGGTGTTCACAACACAGATTTATTAATCAAAATTATTTGATTTATCTCATATTATACTAGCTAAACTATTTCTTCATTAAAATGATTGTAATTTATTAGACAATTTATAAAATCAAAACACAATTTATAAGAAAAGAGGAAAATATTAAAATATCTAATGATATATGATTGTTTCAGAAAATATTGAAAGCATGAAAAAAGAAAATAAAGGACTAGAGAGATGCTCAGGAGCACTGGGTGCTCTTCCAGAGGACTCAAGTCCAGTTCCCAGCAGCCACGTAGAGGCTGACAACTTTCTGTAACTTAACTCCGGGCCCAGGGGAGCTGATACCCTCTTCTGGCCTTCACGGGCACCAGGCATGTGTGTGGAGCACAAACATGAATGCAGGCAAAGCATCTTTTATATGTACAACAAATAATTAATGAAAATTAAGGTTTTAAGAATTCCTTACACATTTGCATTCAGTGATAGAAAGTTCTGGAATTGTCTTTTCTCGCAGAAAGAATACCACATGGTTTACAATTCTCTGAAATGTGTTTCTTTTTCTATTTACAGGGCTGTTCTTGGTCAGTTATATTTGTGGATCTCGACGCTCACAATCGCAACAGGCAGACATTGTGCTCATTGTTACCCAGAGAATCACGCTCTCATGTGAGATGATATACAGTGAACTAAAATGAATTCTCATTTACAGTTTTTATTCTGTGTTATCTACCTCTCAAGAAAGCATAGTACAGTTCTTGCTGGATAAGGAGATGTGATGCAGATGTGTCTCCTTTCTCTAGCCTCTGAGGCTAATCAGGAAGTAAACAGTATTAGGCAAAGCTCCCCAGTCCTTTGAGTCTTCTGTTAGACCACAGAAAAATAGACATTATCTTTCTATTTTTAACAAAGGAATCATTTTTATAATGGGAGATTAAAAAAAAGTTTATTTCAACATGGCACAGTTGCGGATCATGTTTGACTCTTTGTCTGATGAACTTCTGTATACTTCTTGTACCTGACTGTACATTTCCCCAGGCATTCTTTATGGTTTTATCCTTCAAAAACCACTCTAAATAGAATAGTTAACTATTTTATATGAGTAATGCCAGATAATAATGAAAACAAAACCAATAAAGAAGCATTATCTGTTTATTTAATGATGTTCTGTCCATTTATTCTACCATTTAAATAGTCTTTGACAGCATTCTGATACATTTTCATGTATTTTTAGTGAGCATAACTTTTTGCTTTAAGAAATTAGAATAGTGTTTTTTATGAGTAAGCATGTTTTCATTCAATAAACAAATTTCTATAATATAAATCTAATTGCTTCTGCCATATCAATTCTAATGGGTACTAGTTTACTCAGTTATTTGTTGGTCCTTTTGTTTATTTTCACAGTTATAGGCAAATTGCTGTGTTAACTTAATTATGGTAATAAGTATTAATTTTTTTACATTCTGTTTAGTTACAATTTTTAAGTTGCAGCCTAATATTGAAATTGTAAAATTCTTTTTGTTGATGAATAAAGTGTTATCTCTTCTATCAGGTTTACAGAAACATGTCGTAGAAACATCTGTCTTAAGCTCACTGTCACTTGATAAGCTTTTTGACTTGACTTTGACAGGATTCATCTTGGACTGTGTTGGTCATGTCACTGCAGACACTTACAGTCTCTTTATCTTAATGTCCCTAGAATACAGACGCTGCCCTGCTCCCATGCATCAGTTACCCTGCGTTTGCCTTGGATGATGAAGTTCTGTTCAGCCAGACACTTGATAAAGTGATCAGAAAATTAAAAGGAAAATATGGATTTAAGCGTTTCTTAAGAGATGGATATAGAACATCATTGGAAGATCCCAACAGACGCTATTACAAACCGGCTGAAATTAAGGTACCACTAGCACATGCAAGTGTTCGAAAGCATGGATCCAAGAGAGTAACTATTGATTTGAGATCCTACTCCATCTGAATGTGTTTTAACATTATTTATTTCTAAAAATAATACCACCTATACCATGAACTTTTTCTGGGATTGAGTGCTTTTATATATTAATGCTTAGAATTGTGCTTGATACATAGTAACTGATCAAATAGTATTAACTCTTTTACCATATGGGTCACATGGATTCATTGGTTAAATAATATTTTTAGCATTTTCAGTCTTTTGCCTATTTCTCTTACATGGTTTTATTTCTCTCTGTGATCTCCTTTTATGTTATTAAGCAAATGATTTCGTTAAAGCTAATACTCCAAGCCAGGCATTGTGGTTCATGTGTTTAATGCCAGCACTTAGGAGGCAGGGGCAGAGGCAGGGGCAGGCAGATCTCTGTGAGTTTTAGGTCAATCTGGTCTACATAGTGAGTTCCAGTCTAGCTAGGGCTATACAGAGAGACCCTGTCACAAAACAAAACAAAATACCTGTACTCCTCCACCTGCTGGGTACAGCTAAAGAAAGCCACAGACTGGGAGTAGGGGCCATCCCAAATCCAGTAGACCCATGTTGACTCAGTCCTTGTAACTACTTTCGCTTCTTGTCAGTTCTGCTCTGTGATCCTTTAGGAACTTCCCTTGGGGTTGGGGATTTAGCTCAGTGGTAGAGTGCTTGCCTAGCAAGTGCAACGCCCTGGGTTTGGGCCTCACTTTTAAAAAAAAAAAAAAAAAAAGACAAAATTAAAAAACAAGCAAACCTTGGACACAAGCTCTCAATTCTTTGCCTTATTCCTGTAGGGAATCTTTTGTTTCTGTGCGGCAGCCTTCCCTTCATCCACGCTTACCCTCTGTGTCTTACCTCATGGAAGATGTTGTCTCTCCTTCTTGAGGTATTCCATATGGAGAAATACACACACACACACACACACACACATTTCTTTGTGCATGTACTTTCTATTTTTTTTTTTTTACTCGTTTTCTTAGGAATCGCGCTGAGCATTTTTTTTTTACCTTATGTGACTCTGTTCCTCATCTTTCCCACTTCTACCTTCCCTCCATTCTGCTTCTCTCAACTTACTTTTTCCTTTGGCATAAACACATTAATGCCCATTACTAGAGATATAAACAAAACCCTCTCTCAATGTTAATTCTTGTCTGTCTCCTGCCTTCTGTCTGTAGCCATGATCTTGAAAAGCATTGTTTGTATGTGTATAGACCTAGTATATTAGTTACTTTTCTGACTTACAGAACTAGAGACAGAAAGAATTTATGTGATGAAAGAGTAATTCTGACTCATATTCCAGGGAAAACAGTCCACCAAGGCAGGGAAGGCATGCCTTTATGGGTGGCAAACAGCTCTGGTAGTATGAACTATGTGTACTTCCTGGACAATCAAGCTGGAAGCAGAACCTATCTGAATTATAACTCTCAGAACCTACCCTTAGTGCCTTGCTCTGTTGGCTGCCAGCCCAACCTTACCTTAAAAAAGTTCTTGAAAGCTTCCAAAACAGCAGCACTAACTGGGGACCCTTGATTGCCTCCTAGCTCTTGGCTGATTCCAGGCAGTTTCAGTGGCTGGGTCAAAGAGATTCTTGTTTCTCTCACTTATTTTGCTGAATCTCTTGGTGTCTGTATATTTTAATTGTGTTCTCTCTTTTGTAGTATTAAGATTGCTTTGGCCACATTTCCCCCTCTATCCCTACCTACTTTCTCTGTCAGTCTCCAACGTCTTCTACCTCTGTCTTTCATTTCATTGTGCTTTTCTTCCTACCAAGCTCTCACAGCTGTTGTTGGTAATAATGTACTCTATCCCTGACTGATAGTGTGTCTTAAAGTGTCCTCCCTACATGTGGACCTGCTTTTTAGACATACCTCTTCACTTAGGTGTCCTAGAGTTAGCTCCTGATCCTCTGCATAGCCCCATATCTGAGTCACTCTAGGCATCTCTGTATCACTTAAACACATTTTTTAAATTAAACATTTTACTGAGTGATGTATCTGTGTGTTTGTGTGTGTGTGTGCACACACACATGCATGTGCCGATATGTATAATACTGCTACAGTGAGCATGTGGAGATCAGAGGAATAGCTTACTGGGAGTTAGTTCTCTTCTTGTGCCATGTGGATCCTGGAGATGGAACTAAGGTCCTTGGGCTTGACAGCAGATGTCAATCTCGCCCATTAAACCATCTTACCAGCCCCAAACCACTTAACCAATTTTATCATTCACAAAATGTGATGGAGTTATCTTCTTTAGAAATCCTAATTTTTCTCCCCTTTTCTGTATTACTCTGTGGCTTAAACCAGTAGTTCCTAACCCTGAACAATTTTGTCACTAAACTAGACACTGGACAGGAACTGTAGATTTTTTTTATTATCTCTTGAGTTGGCATCAGATTATTGGAGGCTATGAATTATTGTTGCCTGGGGGACCAGCCTCCAGCAGCACAGGGCTCAAAGGGAATCCATGGAGTCGGTGTGTACTATGACATTTTTTATCTGAGGGGGTTAAGGGGAAAGAAACTCACATTCTCTCTTGATGATTTTCTTCCTTATTGTTCTGTATTCTTCCCTTGTGTTCTATATTCCCTTTTTTTATCTTTATCTAGAAATGTTCCTTCTATCTCTCTTGATGTTTTCTTCTCTCTTAATGTTTTCCTCCTAATTCTCTCATTCTTGATGTTTTCTTCCAACTCATTTTAACTCTATCTTTTCTCTTTCCCTTACAGCTTATATATCTCAGCAAAATCTTTCAGGCAATATAAATATTACAATGTGGTTACATTCTGTTTTTCAAGTGAATGATTACAATGAATACAAGTAAAAAACAGCATGTTTTCCATATCCCTTACATGATGAAACATTTTACATAGTACAAGTGAAAAACAAATTATCCCAAGAGCCCACATACATTCATATCCCAACAACTTTTTGTAGATTAATGGAGTGTAAGTAAACAAGGTATTCTTTTATTGGCAGGCTGTATTCTGTGGTTACAAAGAAAGGGTCAATCACTTTATTAGATAACTCAAAAGGTAATCTTCAAGGAATCACAAACTTAAACTTTTATACATGAAAAACAATCAGTAAGCTCTACTTAAAATCTTTAGGGTGCATACCCACTCATCAATAGTTTTTTGTTTGTTTGTTTATATCAGGAGATTGAGGGCAGAAATGGATACAAGGAATTAATCATCACCTTTGGTCCTCAACCAATCCTACCAAGAAAGGCACATCAGCTAATCATAATTGGGCTGCTTTGTTCTTGTTTCCTGACCTTAAAGAGTTCCTCATTCAACTATATGCCTTTCTAAAATTTTAGATTGCCTTCTAAGGTTTTTCACCTCAAATCTATTTATCAAAAACATCTAAATTATTTTCAAAGCTTTATTTCAGCTATGACGCACTGTGAAACTCAAGACCACATCTCCCGTAATTTAAGCTAGCTGGGCTACTGGGACTCAATTATTTTTCTTAATCATTAACCTAAGCTGTAATCTATGCAGCTCCTCAGTAGAAACTTACGTGTTTTAGCTGTGTGACACTTCCTTGTTTTATTTTTAATCATCAAAACTCTATTTAAATTAACAATATTATTATCAATTAGACAGTACAGCTTAGGAAGAAATCATCTTCATAATAATCCACAAGAAAAAATGCCCAGTCTACTGGGATGTTTCCATGAGTTAAACACACTGCATCACAGGCAGTGGGGAATCTCCCCACACCCATTCACACCATGCCAGATACCAGAGAAAGGTGGCAGCGGCAAACATGTAAAGGCACAGCAGGAGCAAAAGACATTCTGGAGTCTGTGGTCGCGGGGCCTTTCCTATCTGAGATTCACCCTTAGGGATTTGCTCCTCGTGGGGTGACACCTGAACTTCAATTGCCACCCGCTGCTCCTCTGACACAGCCACCAACAGGAAATGATACAGAATATCCCATGTTGCACCTGAGTTATTTGTCCAAAATGTCCGTGGTACTAACGTTGAGACAAGCAGGGCTGGGTGTCATCTTTTCTCTTTGAATTATATTTATGACTTTGAGTTGATTTCCTTGTTTCCTGTTCCACAAATCATAAGTATTGCCAGCTGCCCCGCATGGAAACAAGTGTAAGAAAGACTTTAGACAGTTCTCAGTGTTCACCACTGGTTCCACTACCTCCAAGTCAGCCTGTCTTTGAGCAGTGTGGGTCCTGATTTGGCTTCCTGCCCATCTACTAGGCTTCCACTTTTACTGCTTACACCTGTATATTCTTGAATTAGTGAATTGTGATAGTTTCTTTAACATGGTTTGTCTCCCCTTAAGTCTGTAGTTTCTACTGTTTGCTCTGTGTATCACGTTTTAGCTGATTTCTGGCCATACAACCCTTCTCTGATGCTCAAGACAGACTCAGATGTTTCTTAATCTATGTTGCTGATGTCCTGTGTATGGACAGTGTATACTGAGCTGTAGTTATTTATTCATTTGCCAGCCTTCCTACTGTGCTGTGAGCCTCTGAGGGCACAGTGTCTAACTATTGTCTCCAGGGCTCTGTCTAGTTCAACTGTTTTCAACCTGTGGGTCAGCCCCTTGGAAGTTGTGTATCAGATATCCCACATATCAGATATTTACATTACAATTAATAACAGTAGCAAAATTACAGTTATGAAATAGTAATGAAATAATTTTATGGCCGGGGTCACCTCAACATGAGGAACTGTATAAAGGGTCACATCATTAAGAAGGTTGAAAAACACTGTCTAGTTAGTGCTGGGTGATAGTGAGTACTTAATACATATTTATTTCATGACTGCTGTTTAATGAGCTTTTGAATAAAAGTTCTGAAATTTTTTAAAGAAAAATTGATCTCAACCTGAATTTATTACTATAAATAAGTCGCTTACATATAACCTAAAATGTAGTTGCTCTAGTTTGTTAATGAAAACCTTAATGTTTGATTTTCTTTTTTAGCTGTTTGATGGCATTGAATGTGAATTTCCAATATTTTTCCTTTACATGATGATAGATGGTACGTGAACTTTTTCCTGAAATTTCAGATGTAGAACAAGTGGCTTAAATAGCTGAGGGGTGGGTGGATGGCCCCGCTGGTAAAGTGCTTGCCATGAGGGCCTGCGTCTGATCTCCGGCACCTGCCTGAAAAGCACGTGGCTGTAATTTCAGCTCCCGGAGACCGACATAGGTGGATCTTTGAAGCTCTTGGCCAGCCAGATTAACCAAATGGGTGAGCTCCAGGTTCAGTTCAGGTACCCGTCTCATAGAATTGGAGAGGGACTAAGGAAGACTTCCAGTATCAGTCTCTGACTTGTTCACCTACATGTCCTCATAATCATGCACCTGAAAACACATACATAAGCCACACTCAAACACACAGAATTAAAGTAATAAAAATCTTAAAAGCCTAGCTGAAATGACTTCAGCTAGCAGTAATGCTTTCATGTAGCAGTAGATTAGACTTAAGTGATGGTAGCAACTGCAGTTTTATGTTGTTCTGCTTTCTCAGTGAATTCAAATCTTTGAAGAATTTTTAAACATCTGTGTGTGTGTGTGTGTGTGTGTGTGTGTGTGTGTGTGTGTGTGTGTACATGAATTCTTGTACAGGTGCACGCATACCATAGCACAAGATTAGAAGTCAGCAGACAACCTTAGATTTCAGTCCCTGACTTCCACATGCTTAAAGAATTTTTAAAACCGCTTTGAAGTCTTCAATATTGATGCCAGTATCTTGTTCATACTTATAAAGGAAAGCTTATCATAGAAGTCATGATTACTCTGATCATGATATTGAATATCTATAACATTTATGTTTAAGCATAGTGAAATTTCAGTTAATTCAATATTTAATTCTAAATACTAACATGACTCTCTGAAATCAATTTCTATAAAGATGTCATATCTATTTACATTTCTCTTCAGTTTTATGTTTTCATTTATATAAAATTTGGCACAATAATTTTAAAGTGTCTAGAAGTTTCTATAAGGCAAATTTTTGTATGGTTATTGAGCACAGCTAGTATTGGATTTTTTTATTTTCTTTTTAGGTGTTTTTAGAGGCAATGTCCAACAAGTCAAGGAATATCAGGACCTTTTGACTCCTTTGCTTCATCAGACCACAGAAGGTAGAGTTTTATTTATTTTTTTTATCAAGAATTCTTTCTACCAGCATTTTCTGTTCATATAAAATGTGTGCATCATTCCTTTATGAAACACAATTATCTATATTATATTGAAAAATAAATGAGACCTCAACTGCACTTAGAAAAATCTCTATGAATTTAGTTTAACCAATATGTTTTACAAAAGCAGTTCATTAGGCATGACAGGGATGGACATGAATGCTGCTATCACGGCTGATGCCGAGGGGCTTTGTACACGGACAGAGTTGTGTGACATTGTGGTGTAGTTACTTTACTCTGTGTAGTGTTACATGCTATAAAGCACCTAGTTTTTGTACAAGTCCTCAAAGATTATATGGCTGCGTGAGTGCTACCCTCCAGCCCCACCCTAGGAGGGCTGCCTGGAAAGACTGCTTTGGCTACAAGCAGGAGTAATGGCATGGGCTGGACTCTCCTTTGGAGATGCTTCTGGGGCCTTCAGCATTATATTTTGAATGTTTGCCCTTGTACCAAGATGCTATTCTTTGAAGATGGATTCAATATTTTAGAAATAGTCAGAATGCCAAATCTTAGGACTAAGGATGTGTTGGTTTCCATCAAACACCAGTAGGGCCCATCAAAAAGCTTAATTGGAAAATTCCCAAGGAATTCAAGGGCGGTATTCTAGACAGCTTTGGTTTGGAAATATTAACAGAACTATAGTCTCATGAGAATTTTCTGGTGGTGGTGCATGCCTTTAATCCCAGCACCTGGGAGGCAGAGCCAGGCGGATCTCTGTGAGTTCGAGGCCAGCCTGGTCTCCAATGTGAGTTCCAGGAAAGGCACAAAGCTACACAGAGAAACCCTGTCTCGAAAGACCAAAAAAAATAAATAAATAAAAAATAAAAAAAAATAAAAAATGAAAATTTGTATGTAAGTTAAAATTTTTGGAGTTTTGATGTGCTAGTCAAAACGAATCCGTAGTCTTATGGACATAAAGCGTGAAGTGTCAGTCACAGCACTGGCCCCCATCCCTGTTGCACATAAAGTTTGTGATAGGTGAGAGGGAGCAAGGTTCCAGGATACCTAAATAAAATACTTCATATTTTGTTTTATGCTTTCAATGCTTCTAATGTTAAAAGTTGTGAAATGTTGGTGGATGATTTTTTTCCTTTTCCTTTCTTTCTTTCTTTTTGATTTTTTGATACAAAATTTCCGTGTGTAGCTCTGACTGTCCTGGACCAGGCTGGCCTCCAACTCATAAATCCACCTGCTTCTACCTCCCAAGTGCTGGGATTAAAGACATGCACCACTACATGGCAAGCATTTTTTAAATTAAAACAAATGCTAATTTTAAAAAACGAGTTATACTTTCAATATTCAGTTGTCTTCTCTGGAAAATAGTGCAATAGTGAAATATTTAAAATTTCTGCAATCAGGTCTTTTAGTATTCAGGAAGGGATCATTGGTGCATGAAAGTGGTTGTCTAACATCCTCTACTTTTTGTCTTCATGTTCAGAGTGATGCGCACAGTATTCCCCGTAGATCATAACCCTTTCCTCTGATTTTAGACACACTTGTCACTATCAATTGATGAGGGAGGAAGGCAGCAGAACTTCAAGGCTATTGTTTAATTTTATTACAAAAATTAAGTTTACTGTAGATTGCTGTTACAAAATATCATCTGCTGTACCTACAAGGATCATATCCTTTAAATAATAATTTTGTTTTCTGAAAGGTATATCTTTAAAAAATATGTTTTAATAAAAGTTGGTTTTTCTTTTCTTTGTAACACTGAATGGTAGAAGACAGGCTTAATATTTAAATAGGGGTTTGTTTGCAGTAACCAATGGCTCAGAAATATAATTAACTAAAGATTAAATAGTATCTCATTTGCAGTGCTTCTATAGACTGATTTTATTTAAAATAACTTCTCTTATGGCTCTGAATATCTGTATACTATTTTTATATACATATATTTACTGAGCTATATATGCATGTGAATATACATATATATATATATTGACTTAAAAGTGTTTGCTATTAAAGGAGATACATATATATCACTGTCTAAAGCCTAATATACTATTGGATTAGTTCTAAAGTTAAGAGATTTTTTTCCATGTATTTCCCTAGCAGTATCTGAAAGGACCAGTGTCACACTTCCTGTAGCTCACTGCATCTGCTCCTGAGCAGCCCACCACTGTCCCCGCTGTTCTGTCCCCACAGGTTCTTCAGAGGGAACTCTGGGAAGAACATTGTTTTGTTGTATTTTAACATGCTTGCTTCTAAATTAAATTAAATTTTATTTTATTTTACTCTGTAGGATATCCTGTTGTACCAAAGTACTATTATGTGCCGGCTGACTTTGTAGAATATGAAAAGAGAAACCCTGGTAGTCAGAAACGGTTTCCTAGTAACTGTGGCCGTGATGGGAAATTGTTTCTTTGGGGACAAGCTCTTTATATCATCGCGAAACTCCTAGGTAAGTGGAGAAGATTGGGAGCCTATTTTCTTTCCCTGTTATCAGGTTGTTAGCAATAAATAGATCTCGGTGATGTTCTTCCTTTGGGTGGAATTGGATTTGGGTGGATTTCACCCTGTTGTTTGGGGAGTCTCTAGAATGTAAAAGTAACAGTGGTGTCCAGCAGTTCCCGAAAGGAAAGTGCGGTGGGTGAGGGTGCACTGTGATTGTGTGTGGCTGTGTCTGCTCCCAACTGGGAGCTTCTGGCAGGAGACGTGGAAACTTAGGAGAGCATTTCTGACTTACTCTAATGAGCATGTTTGAGTATTATTGCTTTTGTAAACTACTTGGTCATCTTTGAAAGTTGTCTTTTCTCTAGTAAATATATGTTGGTAATTTTCATTCCTACCTAGTGGCTTAATGAGACTATATATAATTATTTGAAAAATTATTCTTTTAGCTGTTTCTACAACTGAATCAGAGTAGCCATGAGCAAATTTGACAAAGACAAAAGACTTACTATGCATCTTCCAATCCTATATTTCTGTGAAATTTCTAGTATTACTAGCATTCTTATCAAAAAGACTGTCATTTTAGAGTCAGAATCCATGTATGACACATTATGAAACAAGCTGACTAAAAACCAAAAACAGTACTTCTCACTGTATGATGTATTATTGCCGTCATTGTTAAGAATGTATATGTATACATTGTTAAGAATGTATATGTATACATGTATACATACAAATGTATCAACGTTTGTGCTGGAAGAATGATCATCTTTGGCTTGTTTTCATCTTCAGTGAGGAAAGATTTCGGAGGCCAGATTCCCAGGGTTCAGTTTGAGCTTTTCATGTATGTTACACAAAAGCAAATAAAACCAGGCAGAGAACTCAAGCTGATGCTCTTTTCAGTTTGAGTCTTTTCTGTGTCTGTTTTCTCAGTCTGGGTGAAAATTGAACCCTAATTAAGAGCATGTAGGAAACTTTTCTCTCTTTAAAGAGGGAAAGGGTTTTGTTTTGTCTCAGCAAATATTATTTATACAGGTGTTGCTTTCGGGTTCATAGAAAAGACACAAAGACTATTACTGGCTAGAATGCTTATGTTCATCTCATTCCTGTGAATAGAAAGAAGGTTTTTGAGACTCAAAGCTAAACTAAACACGTTTTAGCTGAGGGGCAGTTAGCCGAGGTATACTTGAAGAATGTAAAGGACGTGATGAAATTTTTCTGTGATTCTGGGTCTGAAAACTGACTCCTAGACCTGGGACTTGCAGTTGTAAACCTTTTTCTTTCTGATGTTTGGTAAATCTCCAGCCTGGAGTTGCTGCAGTTGGAAAAAGTGATAGCCTGGGGAAGCCCCTGGGGAAAGCTGAGGAATGAGGAAGCAGAATCGGCTGCACTCTCCACGGCAAACTGACCTTTAAAATCAGGTTGTTAGAATGCTTTCCCTCAGCAGAACGCACTGGCCTGTTCTCCCTGCAAACCAAAGTGTCAGATGTGTGCAGGTCTTCAATGTAGGCCACATTTTCCTGAGAACAGGAATGTACAAGTTATGCTCCATGGCCGATATGAGCAAGAATGCTTCCAAACTGTCTGAAAAAGAAGGCTCTCTTTCCCTATGGAAGTTCTCAATGGCATTAGAGAGCATGCAGGGGGCATATTTCATGAAACCCTGTGCTGATTTCCATCTGGGAAAAGAAAAATCCATGCTGTAATCCACCACACTGTCCTAGCTGCATCATCTGGTGACGTGTGCTAGTTCAGGTCAGCGTTTAGGAGACTGGGTTATGTAGCTGCTGCTCTGAATTCTTGAGCATCTCATAACCCATCAAACTTCCATGAATGGTCATTAAGATTCTGGACACACGCCAGGCGGTGGTGGCGCACGCCTTTAATCCCAGCACTCGGGAGGCAGAG